AAATGACTTTTAAGTTTAACATATTTAGATTTTTACAGCTATGGTGAGAAATGTTTAAAATCTACAACAACCCTGTCGCGTCCTTTGAGATATACTAGTGATGCGACAAAAGAGGCATTTGACATTAACCAATATCGGCACCCTCGGAATTTGGCATGCATGCACGCACTGCACACCTACCAAGATCGTCTCTGATTCCATCCATGAGCCACTCGTAGGGAGCAATTTTAACTAAGTGAATTGTTTTAAGATTTAAAAAGTAAAGAATATTTTGTTATTTATATGTAAGTTTCATCACAAAACTATAATCATAATTTTCTTTAAAAGTATATTCATACAATTGAATATTCTGTACCAGGTATGCATAATTGTATATCCACCAGACATTTTATTTTATCAAATAAGTTTTTATTATTTTATTTTTAATTGTAGCCCTTATATCGTGGCTAGCGATTCGGAATGTACTGTAATTATGATATAAAAAATGCATTTAGAGAAGTCTACGGTTTTTACTGGCTTATCGAATAAACGATACGAATGGACCCTAGGCCATCGCTGACGCGCAATTGACTGATTGCCCCTGGATGTCGGCTTCTTACAGCTACGCAGCTTCCCTATTATCAAATGTCACGGCACGCCATTAGTAACGATATAAATGTTCAAATTTTTCAGCTTATCAATATTACCCTTTATTAATTAAGCAATACAATTGTATTTTTTCCCTCCCTGTAAATGCACGATATTTCCTTTTTTTTTCTAAGGGAAAGAGATAAGACATGGTGTTTCCGATGAGAGTTATCTGGTAGTAAACGAAATTCCACGATACATTTCGTCTACCTCCAATTTTGTACAATGCACCATTATAGCCTGCATATACTTTTGAAGACAGTGGCCGTTGTTAACAGGTCGAAAATAGGATGTTTAGTATCCGGGATAGTTGCTAGGATCGGCCGTCGTTTATTGGTTAAGACTGTAATAATTTGTAAGTCCTTAAAATTTTTCTGAAAAATTCACAAAACTTATCTATGTGTATCGAAATAATAGATATTACATTAGTTCTTACACCTGAAATTAATTCTTTAACAATTTATTAATAAAAATAAAATAATAAATTTAAATATAAACATGCAAATTAATTCGAATACACCTAGAATACAATTGTACAGTCATCAAACAGGTCAGATCCCAAATATTTTGAAGGTCGAAAGGTTTTGTTTATCATATTAGTTGTAGCTGTCCTTCATAATACTTGTTGCTGTTGTTTGAACCTGTGAAGTGGGAATTAAAGAACATAAAAAAGCCTTCCTTCAAGCAATTAAATATTTATTTTTAAGTAGATATGACTTACAGTAAGTGTCCAATTTAATACTAATATTTTAATTTTAAAAATAATTTACTTTCGAAGAAACTTCTGGATAGAAAATGTACTTTAAAATCGAAATTTTTAACAAAATGCAGTTTAAACAATATTTTATCTATTTTACATTGCTACTATCATTAAAAGCTTAATGCAATTTGAATTGAAGAGGAATTTGAAGATAGGAATTCGTCTTGAAAATAAATGACAGAATTTTTATTTTGATTAATGCATCCATTTTTATACAGTGGATGATAGAAAAATGGGGGATGAGAAGGTAGGATGATAGAAAAAATAGATGATAAAAACAGTTAATAATAATAATAAATATTATAATAATAGTAATGTGGAACGGTAGAAAAATAAAATTGTAGAAAATTAAATAATAGGAAGGCGAGTGATTGGGCTAGTGGATTGATAGGAAAGCAGTATTATTTAAAAACAAAACATGAATTTTAGACAATACAAAAATAGAATTACAGAAAAGTGGATTAAAATAAATGTATTTTGTGATAAAATTTTATAATAATTTTTCTGTTAAACTGATTAAAAATCACTTTAATTCACAAATAAGTAACCAAAAAAGTGCATTCCTTAAACGATGATAACGCGTTAAACATTGATAAAAGGAATTGCATATTCATTCAAAACAAGGGGGAAAAATACGTTAGATGTTTTCGATTAGTTACCTTTTTACTCTGGATTTATTTATATATTTTCTGGCTGAAAATTTTTTTAGAAAATATTTATTTTAATACTATTTAACGGTATGAATTTTTCAAATTTGATACAAACTGTAATAGTGGTTTCCCCCTTTAGGTAAACCTATAAAACTGTTTCAGTACGGTAAAGATGTAACGAAGTTTTGGATTGGTTAACGGGTATACGATATTAAGTTGGAATAACAATAATTTTAATATATTTTAAAAAATAAATGAGGAGGAAAAACTTTTTATTGGTTACGTGTTTTTTTGAAATAGGGCGTGGTTACATCCCTGCAGTGCATTTATGCACACACAGTCACACACATAGACACAATGATTAAAGTCTACCTTTGGTTATTCTTACCGGGTTTCGGGATGGTGGGGATTAGTGAATCTAAATATCTAGAAGAATGACTCAAACAATTACGTAATTTAATCTTTGTGAAAAATTTTGCTTATTTTCAATACTTAATGGGTAAACATCCTAAATTTTAATTGAATAATTATTAATTATAACGACATCATTCTCCATTTTGTACAAAACGTTATTTTATAATTTAATATAATTTTATACTTTATAAAGCATATTCTGAACTTTTTTAATCGTAAAAAATCTAATTCTGTAAAAATTCATGAATATATTTCATATTTACAAAATATTATTAAGGGGTAAGGGGCTGTCCATAAATTACGTCCGCATTTTTTGTTGAAAGTTTTACTCCGTCTTCCCCTCTTGTCCCAGTTTGTTCGTAACCCATCCCCTTTTCGGATGTCCAACAAAACTTGACCCCCTCTTAAAATCTTCATCCATCACTTTATGAAAAATAAAGTGAATAAATTATATAGAATTTAATGAAATAAACGGACGTGTACTAAAGCTCAACACCTCCCCTCTCCTTCCAGTATGGAAGTCATTTTTGGACAGCCCCTTAAATATTTATTTTAATTAATTTTATTTTCCCTCTTGTCATCTAGTTTCTGTTGTCCTAGTTTTCGTGTTTTAATATCCTTTTTCTTATCATCCATTCTTTTACCATCCTACTCTATCATACTACTTTCCTAACGAATTATATACGCGAAATAAAATATAAATGATTAAATTTTATATATTAAGATTAAATTACGCATAAAATCATTACTTTGTTAATCCAATTTTACATAAAATTAATTGAATTAACCAAATTCCCTTATCAAAAATTTTTATAGCTGAATTAAATATAGAACTTGAATTAAAAATTAAATTCAATTTTTTCTTATTTTAATGTGAACTTTCGTATGCAAATGCGAACATCTTAATGACGATTCGTCAGCAATTTTTGGTAACAATTTCGGATCGAAACCAATTATATTCACGTTTATAACATTTATATATCCTCATTTCTTCCTGGCATCACTCCAGCCAATAAATAACGAAAGGACAAAAAGCAGATTTTTCTAAAAATTTCTTTATGGATCGATGTGGGGTGAACCATAAAAGTAGCTACTGTATTCACATTGCAGTCAGCTGTCGTTAAGTTTTCATTCATATAAGTCTATATTTTACAACTGTTATCGATAATATCACAATTATATGATCGATACAATGCAAAGATCGATGGGCGGTGTCATTGCAACTCCACACTTCTGTCTTTAAAAATCTTGATGTATGACGACATAGTTTTTATATATATATTTAACTATTTGAAAGAATTAATGCTGCTAAACTTTATATTTGATTACATTTAACGTACAGCGATGTAATTTCGTTATGTAGAGCAATTTTCAGGCTATATTGGCGCGGTCGCGACAACTTGGAGCCAGTTTGTCAATTTGGGCGAGCAGCAAACAATGCTTTGTAAATTGCTTTTCTTCTCTCGCATTCTATGTTTTTTTTCGGTTTATCTTTTTATTTTTGTCTATAAAATATCTATTAATTAAAAAATTATGTTAGTTTTTGTTATTTAAGCTATAAAACTGTTTATAAAAAGTTCTAGCGGTTGAAGAGTTAGCGCTTTGCTAGAGAGAAATCGATCGGAAAATCAATGAAAACAAGTACGAGTAGTGAAGTACTTGTTGATGAATCACGTAAAATTCGACATTTTGATATGGAAATGACTTTAATCATTCATTGCAACATGCAAATATAGACGCTTTGAAAATCACAAATTCAAAATTTATGGTTTGATCGAGTATTGTTCGATATTTATACGCTTTAAAATTATATAATTAACATTTATATAAACATGTACAAAGATTTCATTATAAATTATGGAATAATTTAAAAAATTTTGGAGCAAAAATGTCTCTCGAAATGGCTAAATTCATCATGGTGCCATTTAAAGATCCTCTTGAAGAATTTATATATATATAGTTATCCAGGGCTAGACTTATTTCTTAGACTCGTGACTCTAAGTTATAACATATAACATGCCCTTTCCCTGCATCAAATAACACTACCTATAAAAAATGTGGGGCCCTAGATGTAGACTCGTAAAGCGAAGCCCTAAGATACAGCTTATTTAGCTTCTTGCTTATGGATGAAGCAAGTTACGGTAACAAAAGAAAATATAATAACGAATAGAATAAAAGTTGTTAAAAACAACTTAAAATAGCCCAATTTAGTAAAAAGCTTGTATTATTTTAATTTAATATGCTTTTTACGTGTTTTAAATTACAAAATTTAACATTTTTAAACGAATTAATCGTCACTGTAATGAAAATCGATACACTGACGGTCGGCGATTAAATCCGAGAAAAAATTATTAACGATAATTTTAATATCTAAATAGAAAAATATTAATAATAAAAACATTTTAATAATAAATAAAAATATACAAAACAAAATGGATTATTTAAAAATAAAAAAACAAATAAAATAAAAGTATAAAATCGATATTTTTTCCCGTCGCAACTTAGCAGATGGCGCTGTGCCAGAAAATATTCAATAACAGCGGGAGAAAGCGTTATTTACTTAGAAGATCACGTGGTCAGATAGGAGAGAGACGTGCTTTCAACTCCATAGGAGTGTCTCTTCTTGTTATCGTAGTTATTTATAGTTGATATGTGTCGTTGTTACTTACAAATAACGTCAGAATCATGTTAAATTAATGTTTAATAAAGTGTTTTCGTTTAATAATCGTGTTATAAGGTATTATGAGTTCTCCAGAAGAAGGAAAGTATGGTAAGAGTTGCTTTTGTTATCCTACTATAGTTTATTGATGGCTTCGTTATTTGTAATTTTGAGATGGTTTCGTGAGATAATTTTATTTCTGCGTCGAAGAGTGATCAAATTGTGAAATTTAATTAACATCCGCTTTCCTGATGATAAAATGTCAGTGTTTCCAAGTAATCAACAGGTTGGTGTGTAAGGGAATTAGTAGAAGTTACTTTTAGATAAGTGACTTCTACCGGAGAATCAGTATTTTTGTGTGAATGGTTTCATTTTAAATGGTGACATGTTTCATGTTTCTGACATTTTCTATATTGAATTACTTTTCTCCAAATAGTTTGCTTATATAAAAAGATAAGTTAATTTGGATCGGTTGCATTGAATGAATCAATATCTGAATAAAGAAGAAAGCAAATTCACTGATTCTCTTTGTTACTGATTTATATATCAGCAATACTTGGCCCCAGACACTGAGGAAACCCAGGTATTTTGTTCCTATGTAAAAACATTAAACTGGTATTAATTTTTTCTTTTGATAAATGAGATCATATGTTTTAAGGAGAAAAGTGGGCTGCATATGTGACAAGCCTAGACCTGCTGATTCTTATGTTTTTAATAAATTAGCATTTTTATAAGTACTTCAATATACCGTAATAAGGACCCATAAATATGCTAAAAATATTTCTGATTAATATCTGGTTCTACAAGTACTATTATAGCACATGACAAGAAGTATGTTATAATTAAATTTTATTTGTCAGAACCTAAAAGTCTGAGTGAGGTTAAAGAGTAAAGGATTTGTATTGATTTTTATCAGACTTAATTGGAATAGACAATCAACTGAAGAAACTAAAAAATATTAATTTTTTTTTTCTGTTTACATCAGATTTATGTATTCTGTTTTAATGTATTATATACCTAACCTTGATTTTATATTTAAAGTAACCTAAAATATAAATATTTTTCAAAAAATATATGTTTCAATAAGGATATTACATAAATCACTATATTTTACATATACTAATCTTGTATTATGCTAAATAATATAGCCTATATCAATGCCAATAATGAATTGGCCTAAGAATATAATAGTTTGTTTATTAATTAGATATTTTTTTAAAAATTCTTTAATCATTCTTTAATTAATAAATATCAAATTAAATTTAGAGAATTTTTTTCTTAGAATTTTGTAAATAGTTTGACTTTTTAATTTAGATTTAAATTATTTAAATTAAACTTTCAACTCTCAACAAGAATTATTATTATTGTTGAGAGCTGAAAGTTTTTTTGACTTGATAATGATCTTAATAATTAATAACTTTTCATTTTAAAATACATTTTACAAATCAAAGATATTTATAATGATTTTTTTTTAATTTGTATAATTCTTCAATGGTACTGTCTTTATTATATAGAAAATTAAATTAAAATCTAAGTATTTTTAATTGTAAAGCTTTCATTTTAAGGAGCCATGATGATTCAATTTTATTTTCACAACCAAGGCCATTTATAGCCCTCTGGCTCCTCATTAGAGAGGGAGGACAAAGGGTTCCTGATTTCAAATGATTCATAGTGAAGCTAGGAAATCCAAATGTCAGGAGATCCATAATTCTTATCGGCAACCTCACCCATAACTGCAAAAGCTTTTTATCTTATTTCTTACATTAAAGGATTCATATTGTTCATACAAATAGTCTCTAAATATATATATCTATACAAATCTAAGTTTTATCTTTGTTATATTATTTATATGAACTGATGTTTGTTAAGTTCTTATAAAAACTTAGTTAAATTCATTTCTATGAAATTAATGTTTTAAAATAAATCCAATTTCAAAATAATTAAAGGTATAAAAGCCATTCCTTGAACAATATATCTACAAATATATTTTAAACCAATTAAAAGTTATTTTGATAATCAAAAACTTTTTAGATAAATTTTAGTCAAATTTTGAAGTAAATTTTTCAAATTAAAGTAAATGATATAAAAAAAACTTTATACCATTTGAGTTTATGAACTGAACAATAAAAAATCTCAATTTGGTTAGTTATTTATGTACAAATGCAAATAAATTTAAATGGAACAAATGAAATTTAATTGGATGATTTTATTTCGTAGTCTTGTTTTTGTGTATTTATAGTTTTATTTTCACAATCAGATCTAAATAAATGTATGTAAATATTTGTAGAAGTCAATATATACTTGTTTGTTTTTTGATGTAGAAAATGAACGTGTGTATATATATATATATAAAAATACACACTTTCATATATACAAAAAAATTTATAGAATTGAAACAGAGTACAAATATTAAAAACATTTATATTAACATTTATATAAACATGTACAAAGATTTCATTATAAATTATGGAATAATTTAAAAAATTTTGGAGCAAAAATGTCTCTCGAAATGGCTAAATTCATCATGGTGCCATTTAAAGATCCTCTTGAAGAATTTATATATATATAGTTATCCAGGGCTAGACTTATTTCTTAGACTCGTGACTCTAAGTTATAACATATAACATGCCCTTTCCCTGCATCAAATAACACTACCTATAAAAAATGTGGGGCCCTAGATGTAGACTCGTAAAGCGAAGCCCTAAGATACAGCTTATTTAGCTTCTTGCTTATGGATGAAGCAAGTTACGGTAACAAAAGAAAATATAATAACGAATAGAATAAAAGTTGTTAAAAACAACTTAAAATAGCCCAATTTAGTAAAAAGCTTGTATTATTTTAATTTAATATGCTTTTTACGTGTTTTAAATTACAAAATTTAACATTTTTAAACGAATTAATCGTCACTGTAATGAAAATCGATACACTGACGGTCGGCGATTAAATCCGANCATACAGATAAACAGATAATGCCAGTTAGAATTGGAAGAACAAAACACTACAGTAGAAGAAACAAGTTTTCTTTTTTTATATTTTATTTTTAAATTCTTTCTGAGAATTTCTAAATGTAATTTTATATTGGCCAATAATTGTATTTAAACTATAAATATTTTTAATATTTGTACTCTGTTTCAATTCTATAAATTTTTGTTTAAATTATTTATTTGAAGAAGTTTCTAATAAAAATTACAAAAAAAAAGCAAAAGTGCTTATGCTTTCTTGTACCTCTTGCATTATTTTCATTCCAAAAAACAAATGTTCATTAGTCTACATCAACGGTTTCCAACCTTTTTCGGGTGGCGATCCCTTTTTATAAAAGCCAAGTGACCCGCGACCCCGATACTATTGAAAAAGATATTTTTAATAAGGTAATTAAAAAAGACAACGAAATTAGTTTTTATGGCCGTTGAATAAGAAATGTTTCTTTCACAAGAAATGTATAAAATTAGTGTTGTATTAGACTTATGGTACCTAATTTACATACTGTACAGACAATAGTAAACTCAAGTTACTCGCCTAAACTCTCCGTAGCGTGGCGCTGGACAGCGGAAAGTAGTTTGGCTGCCCGATGATGTTTTACCGAATTATAGGAGTTTTTTTACCATGTTTGTACGGACACCATCACAATTTTTTCGCCGTCATATAGGAATCCGAACTATAGGAACCCGTGTTATAGGGGGATCGACTGTATATCAAATTATTCAAACTTCAAGACACCATTAAAAATAAAAATTGCATTATAGTGAACATTTTTTTTAGTTAACTGTATAAGTTGGCGACCCTACAGAAAGCCTGTTGCGACCCACAGGTTGGGAACCCGTGGTCTACATACATGAAGGAAAATAGTAAAGTGTTCATTACAAAGTTGAACACAAAATTATTTGTTTAAACTGTTATAATCTGTTTGAAGTTTTGGACATTTTCTCAGAAATATGAGATTACAAACAAAACAAAATGTGATGTGTCATATGAAACAACTTGAACTTTTTAGCTATTGTAACAGTGACATGCATTTAAGATCTAGCATTTGGCTCCATTCTTATTCTGGGGAAATACTGTACTATAGTTCTATTCAAATGATTATATCCAGTTATATTGTGTAAGTCTTTTAATGCCATATACATATATACACATTTTGTTTTATTCTCTATATAAGCAGGACTGACTAGAGGTTTTGCAGGGCCTCAGGAAAAAGTTATTAGCAGGCCCCATAATGTTTACAAGAAATAATTTCATCATCAGTTTCTTAGAAATTTGAAAGTGTGTTGCCGCCTCTGAATGCAGGGCTACAGTCTGAGGCCCAAACACATCGATGTTTGAGCTGGCCCTGTATATAACATTTAATTTTGATAAAAATTTAATGTATAAAACTTTATATTCCATTGTGATTATAATTATAGTATGTTTTTTGTATAATTTAGTATTGTGAATTAAAATGTTTGCATCTGCAGAAGAATGGTGGTAATAAATGGTTTTAAATTTGATTTGTATTGGATGACATAATATACTATTTATAATTGAAAATAAATAAATTAGAATTTGACTCCTACATTATTAAATTCAGGTAAAATTTTTTAATGCTAAATTTGGGTTTCACAGTACATTAATTATCAGAAAAAAGCTAATATTTAACAAGTAAATATTGATGATCAAATATCTAAACACTAATTCAGTCCAAGTATATTTTGAAGTTTGGCAATTAATCTTTAAGTTATTTAAAATCTGTTTAATAATTTCTGAAATAAATCAAAATGCAGATATTTCAACTTCTTTGCATTGCCTTAACAAAAATGTTAAACTGTGTGGTTGGATTTTGGAGCAAATGTACATTTAAAGTAAATTTGTTAATTCGTGTTTGAATCTATGCTTTATAATACATAGATTTATGATGAGGATTTTTGAAATGTTTACAAGTAGTTGTTTTCTTGAATAAATATTTTTAAACAATTATTAAACATTAATTACAATACAGTGGTACCTCAGGATACGAAATTAATCCGTTCCGAAACTGAGATCGTATCATGAAAATGTCGTAAGGTGGATCATCTTTTCCCATACGATTACATGTTAAACCAAATAATTTGTTCCAACGCGAAAAACATACTCAAATT